TTGATAATAAAGAAACATGTCCATTTAAATATTTTGTTTATCAATATGAGAGAAATTATAATGCTAAAGACCAGGATCGGAATTGCCATATTCAAGGATTTTTTCATTTAAAAAATCAAATGCGAATTGGTAATTATAAGTTAGCTAATGGTGATCAAAAAGAAAAGAAATCTGGAATTAAAGAAAAGTTGCAGATCGATAAGATTCATTTTGATTTAGTTGCTAGTGATAAAGATTCAATTATTTATTGTAAGAAAAAACATAATAAATGTTCTATTCATAATCGTTTGATAGTTAAATATGAAGATTATCCACATCTTTCAAAAGAAGAATTTATGAAAAATACAATTACAAATTTGAAAAAAATCTTCAGTTTTATTTAGCAATTTGTCGATGCAGTTATGATGATTTAACCGATTTTTCTAAATGCATTTGGTGTAATTTGGATTGTTGCTCTCAGAGAACATTGGCTCATTATGATGAGAATTTAGGTCCATTTAATTATTCTATTACTCAAACAGTTAATAATAATAAATCAGGAAAAAATCAATATAAAGATCGTATATTACAAGATGAACAAATTTTACAAGATATGCGAGAATGTATAGAAGATATTATTGAAAAAAATTTATCTGGTGATGAGGCTGTTGTTAAATATGCAAAAAAGAATCCTCAATGGGTTGTTAATAATTCACAAAATATTTATATAATTTGAAAAGCAGTGAAAAATATTGAAAAAAAGAAAAAGAATAGATTTCAATGATGTTGGAGACCAGTTACTTTTTATTTTTATAGACCGGGTGGTTCTGGAAAAACTGGATTAGTAGTTGAATTATTTAGTAAAACTGAATTGTTTGAAAAATCAAAAAAGCAACGTTCTGGTTCAAATTATTGGAATGGTTATGAAAATCATGAGGTTGTATTATTGGATGAATTTTATACGAAAATTGATTGGTCAGATATAGTGAATGTTTTGAATGATACTTCATTTTTGATAGAAAATAAATATGGAATGTATGATTTTTTTAAAGCACAATATTTATTTTTAACAAGCACAAAACCTCCTGAAGAAGCTTACAATTTTGGCCAATGTGATGGTGAGGATGACAACAAGCGAAGTTATGACCAATTTATTCGTTGATTAGATTTTGTCATTGAGTTCAAGGGTAAATGAAATGATAATCTTAATGAAAGAACTACACAAATTATTTTTCATAAGGGATCAAAAACAGATTTTCGTAATATGATTTGGTTAGTAAAATATCGAAAGAGAGGATTAACTAAAGATGAATTACGTGAAAAAATATTTAAAATAAATAAAGGAGCAGAAGATTTAATAGTCGAAATAAATAATCAATTGTATTGGTAGCGTGAATTTTCAGAACATAAAAGAAATATCTTCAAGATTATTCTAACTCTAAAGAGCTATCAGATTATCATGAACAAGAAATAATTATTTGTCAAAATTCTCAAATTGAAGTATCAACTAACAATCAAGTTAATGAAGAGATTTATTTAGAATAAATTCAGAGCCAAAATCAGATTTACATTCAGATGATTCGGAATATACACGAAAAAGAAAAAAGTGTAAATATAATAATAAAGATAGTAATAAAAAAATAAAATTATAAAATAAAATTTAAAAATATAAGGTTAATAATAGTTATCTTCATAGATAAAGTCTGATAAATCAATGGAATTAATAAAAGGGTTTTCATTTTTAATGAAATTATAGAAAAAAATATTTTCATTTTCATTAATAAATTCATTTTTTAAATTAAATTTATCTTCACTTTTTTCATTTTCAGTATATTCTTCGTTTTCAGAATATTCTTTATCAGTATTTTCATTTTCAGAAGTATTGTTTTCAATTTTAGTACTTTCGACTGAATATTCTAAAGTTTCATTAGTAAAATCATTAATAAAACTGATTTTTTCAGTTTTAGTTTCAATTGGAATATTTTGAATAGATTCTTTGAATTGTTGTTCTTCTTCTTTAAGAATGTCTCGTTTATAATTTTTAATAATCATGTCTTCACACCAATAAGCCCATTAAAAGATTTCATTTTTTTCATTTTTTAATTCTTCTTTTAATGATTTAATTTTTTGTTCAAGTCGTTCAATTTTTTTATTTAATTCTTTTCTTTTAGATTTATTTCCTGGGTAGTTTTCACGACCAGAAAGTGTTTTTAAAGTATATTTTTTTCATAAGGCATTTTTGTTAATTTAAATTTCGGGTGTGAAGGTTTTTTTTCATATTTATTTAGTTTTGTTAGAAGTTTCTAAAATTCGATTTTAGTTAAATTCTTAATTTATCTATTTTTGTAATACAAATTTAGGTTTTTCTGTTATCTATTTTTTCTAAATTTGATTTATACTTATTTAGAGGTCGGCTAAAGCGGAGCGAGTTTTGATTGTCTACATGTTAACATCGATCACATGAATGATTATCTACATTGCATATCGATCATGTGCATGAATATAACCAATCACCACTAGATAGAGTGAAATCCAATATTGTACCAAATTTTTAAAAACTTTGAGCGAAGATATCTTGACAACCACCTGATTAATTTTAATGAAAATTTTTTTATTTGAATTCTATAGATTCATAGAATTCAAATAAAAAAATTTTTATCGAAATTAATTAGGTGGTTG